TCAAATAATTTGTGCTCGATTCGCGATTCGAATTCGTATAAGGTGATCCGAATTCGGAAAATTCAAAACAAATACAAATATGAATATTAAATTTGATTCGAATTGCTATCAAATTCAAATAAGAATATCAGTGTATTCGATTCGAATATTAATCAAATATATTCGATTAATAATAGTGATAATATTAATATTAATAATAATATTAATAATAATAGTAATAACACTATAATAACTTTTAAAAGATAGCAATACCCTAAAGTGTAGTAGTTCATATATACATTTATGCACACAAATCCTAAGTCCATTTGTAATAAATCAAAGTATAAATACGAATACAAATCAGATTTTTGGTTCAAATGTCTTTCAAATACAATACAAATAATTATGTATTCGATTCAAAGAATAAAATTAGAGACGTTAAACTTTGATGTATACAATTATCAACTTATTTCACACATTGTAAGTAATTTCTAATATGTGTGTTATGTTTATTTCTAAAAGTTTGAAATAGATTTATATTTGTTAATCATAAAATTAATTCACTTTAGTATATCATGCAAAATTTAAATTCTAAAAACACATATTAAGACATAGAGTACATTTACAATATAAAAAAATATAAGAAAATTTATTTTAAAGTGATATTTGACTAATATTTAACCTATGCTCAAATCTATTCGATATTCGTATAAGATTCGTTAACTATTCGTATTGTTAAACAAATACAAATACAAATCGAAATTAATATTCGTTTCATATTTGAATTCGAATTCGTATTCGAAAAAATTAATCAAATACAAATACAAAATCCTGCTATTCGACTCGATTCGGTTCGTATACAACCCTAAATGAGCGTCTACAAACCCGTTTAAATGTCAGTTTTGTTAGCCAACACAATTTTTGTCATTTTAAAGATTAATTTTCTTATCACCAAAAAAAAAATTCTTTTTCAGTATTCCAATACTGAAAAGTTATCACATGTATGTAAGCTATCTATTTTCAATTGTAATGATTATTTGATTTGAACTATGAAAGTAAGAGAAATTTTTGGTAAATAAGCATTTTTGTAAGTTAATGTTCATTTTTTAGTTGTTAAACAACAAAAAATTTGATGTGTATGAATGCAATAAAAGATACTATTTCTTTCCTAAGGATATGTTTAGATAAATAATTCACAAATAAGACCTTCCCAATTTATAAATATATTTTGTATGTATTATCAACCAACATTATAATCAATATTATACTCGAATTTTAATTAGTTATAATAACTCATACATATTTCAACATGCGCGTGCGCGCACACAAACACACATATAGTGAAATTAAAAATAAAAAACATTTTATCCCGTGCACGGCACGGGTAACGATACTAGTTTTATTTAAAAAGTTTATTGAAATTTGGACTTCACTAATCTTATCATTAGAGGTTCTACGAAAACTATATTAACTTATTAATAATTTTGCATAAATGGGTACACACAACGTAATACACAATATTAATAACGTTAAACAATAATTTACTTTATTGTTAGAGCCATTGTTTTAAACTTCTTCACCATTATAGAGTATTTTTTATAAACTCTTTATGTAAGTACTATTAGGTTTGTTTATATGAATTTGGGATCAATTTTTTGTGATGTCTGTTAAATGATACTTATATCAATCTCTGTCAAGAATGTTTAAAATTGAATTGTATTTCGCTTCAAACCAGACTAAATATAATAAGTAAGTAGAGGCACAATTTCATATATGTGTAAGGGAGTGTTTGCAATTGCTTCAACTTTAAAGAAATGATTTTTTAAAGTGATTTTGGGAAAAGTGATTAATAGTAAAAGTTGGTAGTGTTTGAAGAAAAAGTGATTCTGAAAAAGTAGAAGTTGGTAGTGTTTGGTAAAAGAAGTACTTTTTGTGTAATAGAAAAAGTGAAAAGCAGTTTAAAGCACCCTTCCACCTGCTTCCAGCTTTTAGCTTTTAAGTGATTAATTTAAGCAGAAACTGTCATTTGAAAACACTCTTTTTAACTTTTTTTAAGCCAAAAGTTGAAAAACACTTTTTTTAATCAAATGCAAACACTCCCTAAGTTGGGGAGAGGATTAGAGAAGTGTTCAGAGATATAATAATCTGAAAATAATCACAAATAAATAATACATATATTATTTAATTAACATTATATTATTTTTGAGGTAAGTTTACTCTTTTCATTGATAAGAAATTAACTTTGAAAAATACCAACGCTTCACCTGTAAATCAATAACTTTAAAATTAATTTTAATAATAAAAATTAGAGAAAATTGGGTGTATATACACATTTAAATATAGGCCTTTAAGTTAATGTTATAGATTAGTAAAAATAAACTAGATAGCCTCTATTAAAAACTGCCTATGCAGTTTGTCCATTGTAGCCTTATGGACATCATTCCGCAATTTCCTTCTCAACCATTAACGATCTCTATCAATCCGCAATTTCCTTCCAATCTTGCTAGCAATGTTGGAAAATCCATGTGCCGGACTTGGGCCCATAAATCCTCATTTTGAAAGGCATGGTGATGACTGATGAGAACAATCATCATAACAGCAGTGGCGGTCAGGGGAGAGGGAGTGCTTTCATCATTCTCAGGCTCCTTCAAATCTCCAAAATAGCGAAGCACGTATATAATCGACGAAGTACGTAGTATGAGACGGCCTTTGCCTCAGAATGTTAGCACCAGATTACTTGGTGTCCTTTTATGATACGCAGTATATAAAAGGGCTTATACCAGTATTTGTTGTCATAATTAGGAAGAAGGGTTAGATATGGAACTTAAAAATTTACGGCTTTATATTACCAAGAAAAGTGTTATGTATTTAAATAACTGAAATTGAAGCTACTAACTTCACGTAGCCTATTTTTTAAGGTTATTTAGCATTTTTTTCCCTAAAAATTATTTGAATATATGATTAAAAAAATGAACCCACTTTCCGATTAGAAATTGAATCACAAGATATCACAAATCAATAGTGAACCATCAAAAAATGGTTATTTTGAAATGATGTCACGTACTTGATATTTTTATATTAGTTCTTAATGAGTTAAATGACTAAATTTCTAGTGGAAAATAGCTCTGTATCATGTTTATTGTAAATTCAAACAATTGATATTATTAAATATTATTTTTCAAAATATGTATTATTCTTGGTTTATAGGTGATAGTTGGTAAAATTACAGCCCCTTTATTGTTCCTCTCTTTGATAATGTCATTGTTTGAATAATTGAATTGAACATATTATTGAGAAAATTAACAATAGGTAAATAGTACTTTTTTAAACCACTCGATAAATTAAAAGACAAATTGTAAACTTTTGAAGACAACCTGATGTATTTATATTTAACTATCGTGATTGTATATTAACAATTATATTGAATAGTATTGTATAAATGAATAACTACTATAGTGACATGTGGCCAGTAATAGAATGACATGTGGCCATAAATGAGTTAATGAATGACATGTGGCAATATTATTTAACCAATGTAACTCTTAATTGTATATATATTATAATAATATATAGATATAGATATAGAAATAGATTTCTATTGATCATATATGTACATTGAATATCATACGCTAGCTGCTTTGTTTTAGCAGTGTTCGGAGCTCCCATTTTTCCTTTTCCATCAGTTGCTCTCTTACTGCATGTCCCTTAGCAATTAATAAATTTAAGAATTGAGGTTTAAATTATTTTTTTGGGGTTTAATTAATGTGTCAGTTCTAGCCCTCCTCTACTACTCAATTTGTTGTTTTTTAAATCCATTTTGACTTTATAGTGTTTAAAAGACGAGGGAATGATAAAAGGAACAAGAAGAAGATGTAATTCATTGAGTAGACAATACAGAGATTTGTTTCTCCCTCACCTCCTTACATAGTTACATACCAAGTACTCCGCTCATTTTGATTGAATGGTTTTCATTGTTTATTTGTCTGCTTACCATGTTTATTATATTCCATACATTGTTGGAACAGGTTTCTAACTTGTCATAGACCCTTATGGATCATGAGCTTGGGAGGTTGCCTGCCTGCTTCTATATAAAGAGACTCGGGTTGGAGAATGAGAGCGAGGATGTCCTTTCATCGATTACACAACAACGTCCTAACCACACTCTTTCAACAGACTCAGCTCGCGTGATCAATTATCTTAACAACATACTATTGGAGGAGAATAATGATGACTTGTTGTGCCCTGATTCTGTTGCGCTAAGAGCTGCTGAGGATTACTTTTATGAAGCCTTGGGCGAGAACGTCTCCTTTGACAACAATGTTGTAAGCCCAAAAGACATCTCAGTTGGGACCTCCAGTTCTCATATTGATATCTATAATTCTGATCAAGAAGTCACAAGTGATCCTCCCCGTCTCTCCATTCAGTCTTCATCAAGTAAGACTAACTTGCATGGGATAAATGGCTCTTTATACAGCTTTGATAGTGCTGATTTGAATCCAAATTTATATTTTGATAATGTGGCTGCCTCCATATACCAATTCAAGAGAGGTGTGGAGGAAGGTAGAAGATTCTTTCCTGCCAATAATCCAATGGTCATCCATTTCGACGATAAATACTCATTGAACCTTGAGATCAAGGAATTGAACAGTGGTAGTGCTGTGAGTGAAACGAATGACCATTCAGATGATTCATGTAGAGGAAGGAAGCACTTCCGTGCAGGTGAAAGTGGGCTAGAAGAAGAAACAGAAGAGCAAAGGAGTAGGAAGCAGAGTGCAGTTTATAAGGAGGAGGATGACTTGTTAGAGGTGTTTGACAAGGTTTTGCTGTGTGATAATGATGATGATGATGATGATGATGATGATTGTCCATCTGCAGTCAGAAAACAACCACAAAAAGGCCAAAACGGGCGCAAGGGCCGCCCAAGTAAACAAAAAAGAAATGGTTGTGAAATTGTTGATATCCAATTTCTTTTGATCAGCTGTGCAAAACTTGTTTCTGCTGCTAATTACAAGAGTGCTGCAGAAAAACTAAAGGAAATCAGACGTTACTCTTCTCCTACCGGTGACGCAAATCAAAGGGTGGCGCATGCTTTTGCTGAAGGTCTTGAGGCACGGCTGGCTGGAGCTGAGTCGCAACTTTTGGCTTCAATATCACTTCGCAAGATGAATTGTGTTTCAAGTTATGCTTCCGAATTAATGAAATCCCACTTGTCATCATCTTTGCCATTTCTGAGGTTATTTGTCTTCTTTGCGAATAAAATGATTTACGAAGTAGCATCGAAAGCCACATCACTGCACATTATAGATTTCGGCATTCTTCATGGTATTCAGTGGCCAACTCTTATTCGAGATCTTTCACAAAGACACGGTGGTCCTCCAAAACTTCGAATAACTGGGATTGAGCTTCCCCAACCTGGTTTTCGTCCATCTCAAACAGTAGTGGACACTGGTTGTCGCTTGGCTAGATATTGCAAGCGCTTTAATGTACCGTTCGAATACAATGCCATAACTGCGAAGAATTGGGAGGCACTTAAGATGGATGGCTTTAAGCTCGCACGAGGAGAGGTGGTTGCTGTTAACTGTAATGATCGATTCAAAGATCTACTAGATTTGACAACATCTGGTGAGGATAGCCCCAGGGATGATGTTTTAAACTTAATTCGGGAATTAAACCCTCATATTTTTGTGCATACAACGATTAGTGTATGTCACAACTCTCCTTTCTTTCTCAATCGGTTCCAATCTGCTCTCTTCTACTACTCTGGTATCTTTGATATGTTTGACGCTATTTTCCCACGCCATGATTGTTTAAGGTTACATTCTGAACAAGCAATTATGGGACCCGTCATAAAAAATATCGTAGCATGTGAGGGCAAGGAAAGGTTTGAAAGACCTTAAACATACAAGCAATGGCAAAGTCGCACTTTGAGGGCTGGGTTCAAGCCTCTGCCCCCAAATTCTGAACTCGTGAAGAAGTTAAGAGACAAGGCGCGGGAAGCATTTCGTTTGTTGTGGGTCGCGCCTGCGGTGAAACCAAGGCATTGAATTATCCTTCCTAGATTTTTTAGGATGGAACCTGAGTTCTTAATATAGTAACCCCTCTATCTCTGAATAAATTGTCTTTTCTTTTGTACATGTAGAAAGAAAAAACATAAAATTTGTATTCAGAGATGAAGTATTAGACATCATTAAACTCAGACAAGGAATTTGATCTGAATAATCCCAAATGATGTTGACAAACTATAACTAGGTGGAAATGCTAAAAAGCAAGTGGACACGGACACAAAGATAAGGGCAAAAGCCAATGTCTCCTATGGAAAGGTAAACATGTAAGTGTGCATTTGGTAAAGCTTATTTTGGAGCATATAGCTAATTTTAATCTCCATATATACTCAGTCCTGGTTGGTATATTAGATGATAACTTAAAAGTAAACTCATTTACAAAATAGCACCTCTCTATCTATATTCTGTAATCAATATAAAGGATGCCCTTTATGTCATTCTATGCAATCTGCAGCTGTACATTTAATTGTACTATACACTTAAAATACAGATATACACTGTTTGGTCATAGCAATTCACTACTAATTTTCTGACATACTTACCCTGGAAAATGAAAATGATTTTTCTGAGAATCTAGAGGAAAATGTGATTGAAGAAGAACAAGTGAGCAACATATCCCCAACAGTGGAAATAGAAGAGGTTGACAGTGGAAACTCTTCAAAAGTTGACGTGGGGCCCTTGAATGCTGGCAGTCCACCACGAGTACGCCATTCTCTCTCTCAAATGCTGATGGAGGAAAGCAGTGAACCTGAGATTGTGGAGTGGGGGAATGCAGAGAACCCGCCAAACATGGTGTATCAGAAGGAAGCGCCGAAAGGGTTCAAGAGACTCCTTAAGTTTGCGAGGAAGAGTAAGACTGATGGTGAGGGAATAAGTGATAGTGATATTCATGGATCAATATAGTGATATGATGGATCGATTCAGGTTAGCTGACACCAATTTTCGGAAATAAGGTTAGAATGATAATGATTTGCCTTTTTCTTTCCTTCTTTCTTTCTTTCTTTGTAGTCCTTTTCTTCATAGAAATGCTTATTATTTTTGTAAACAAAGATGTACTAAAACAAAAATAGCTTAAACAGTATATTTGCAAGGACAAAACACACATTGGAGCTTTTTTTAATGTCACTCTAATATCCAACATTTTTACGCAGCAAGTCTATGCAAATCTCTAGCAGTATTAGGCATATGTTTTTTGTCATCTTTAATAGTATGAATGCCTTTCATTTCAGCATCGAGATCGTTTTTCCCTCTTTCAGCATTCAAGGGGAGCAAGCATGGCGAATCTAAGCATCGATAACACACAGTGGTCCTAATCTTATCGTCTCTCATAATCAGTGTAACTTTAGCTTCGGCCACATCCAAAGAGAGGTGGTGGAGTACATGCTGTAGCATATCTTGTTCATATGCACTTCATAGATCTTACTGTTTTTGCTTGAAGATTCATCCATTTTATTCATCAATAGAAACCAAGGTTTTTTTGTAAGATAAAAACCAATGTTGAATATGTAATTTTATGCAGCCTGATCGTTTCTTTATATCCTGTACAATAAGTTTGCAATTTAATGCTAAGCAGCCTGACCTTTTGGAGCCTGTCTGGATGTAAATGGTGAATGAACTATAATGCTTTTGGTGAATTTAAGTTTGAGTTAGTCATACTTACTAAAACTATTACTCCATCTGCCTATTCTCCTAAATATTTGTACATTGATGTATACTCATGTTATGCAAGATAATAGAAAAACTGTTTCATTATTCAATATGGTGTCAACTGTCAAGAGCGGGGTCATCCCCAACATGATTTCAAATCTGACACTATTGAACAATATCATAATTGTTTTTCTTGTTTTTCCCGTCACACAAATCATAAGAGATGCTGAGATGGCGCAACAGGTGCTCAACTCAGATCACTAAAATTGATTGAATTTATTGAAATTGATGAAATTCTGACTAAAGCGGTTGAATTGTCTGAATCTGCTGAATTATAAAAAAAAAAAATTATTTTTTATTTATAAGATAAACGAAAAATTTATATGAAATAGCTAAAATCACCTTCTGCATAAAAGTAAGTCTAACCTAACTTATTTTTAATATTACATAATTCAGTGTTCAAAATCAAAAGTTTTGTGATTAGTGAAAAATTTGATTGATAAGCAGAAAGCATGTCTCACCAAGCGGGCTCTTAGTTATCTCTAAAGTCTAAACTAAGGTCACAAAATCTCAAGTCATGGAGACATGGAGTAGAGGTTGTCTAACTACAAAAGTTGATAATATTCAATTAATTATCTAACGAGAGTTGATGCCCAACTATCATTGGCGGATCTATCCCTTATATTTTAGGTGTTCGAAATCACATTAAAACTACAATTTCAAATGATAGTATGGAGCATTAATTTATGCAAGAATTATGCCCTTTTGTCATCATTCCAATAAAAAACTACTGCATGGCCAACAAAGTATACACTCATCTTTTTCAATAAATTTACCCCAGTCGAAAGAATTTTCAGACAGATACATTTCAATAAGAAAAACACTAATTGAATTCTAACATTTCTTTGAACCAGAGCAATTTGAAATTAGGGAATAAGTAGAGTAATATATCTTCCAAATTGAAACAAGCAATTTCCTTTGAACGAGATCAACAAACCAGCAACATATAGTCCGCACTAAGGCATGCACTAGCATTTAAACAATTATTTTTTCTAGCACAATTCCCAAGACTTAATAAACATTACTGTTTTTAAAAAAATCAGGTTGTTCAAGTGAATACTCTTGAACAATGGTGGATCCGCCACTGCCAACTATGCAATGGTGGTCCATCACCAAAAGTTATCTCCATGTTCCTATCATTTGAAACAAATGTTTTGGTATGGATTCTCGTTAAGTACCATTACAATAAAATTTCACTCTCATGGATGTAATGTTGAATCTTAAGAAATTGTGGATTCCAATGAAAACATTTTTGGGGATTTAGTGATTAATGAGTGAGTTTAATACTCTTACTATCGAAACATTTGCCCCACATCAGATTATATACAAATAATGAAACACTATAAAGTTCCAAGCTACTTCTCTTATCTATTAACCTTTTAGCAACATATATGGAACACGATATGGAACATATTTGTAGTCAAATATAATTTTTTAAATGAGTTAATCACTCTTCTCTTCTTCTCAGTTTTCAATCTCGTTGTGACCGAGGTAGTGGCCGAAGTTCTTTATAGTAAGCAGAGGACGAAGTCGTGGCAGAAATGCAGCATACCCTGTGATGGAATATTACTGGCATTTACATGGGAGCCTCAAACAATACTTAATGTAACTCCAACAACTAATGCCACAGTTTCACATATCTCATTCAAAGTTGAATATGATGAATTCCAACAACTCAAAGCCTACAGAACTTCAGTTGCTCAAACCCACCGTTAATGTGCATATTCTCATGGAATTTATACATTGTTGTATCTTCAGCTTTTGCATGATTATAAAAAAACATATCACTATTCAAGGTTAAGGCTTTTAAGTGCCTGCCTTTGGCAAATTTATTTAGCTTATCAGTTAAAATTCTCTCTAATTACCATTAATCTGTTTAGCTTTGCTAAGCGAATTTGTGAGCAATGAAAAAAATAAGGTAATGAAATAGATTGTAATGGATCAACAGGTTGAAACAAAAGAATACAATACTTCTACCTCTATGTTTTAATTTTGTTTTTATAGCTCTTTTAGCTTTCCATTATTTGCAATGGAACCAAAGATTCATTATTTTTTGGCTTGAGAATATGATGGAATAAAGCAAAATGACTCACCAAACTGTCTGCTCTTCTTTGTTATAAAGCAGCAGTGACTTCATGCAATTTTGGACGCAATTTTCATTATGGGTCATCCGGAAACAGTCTTTTTGTGCTTTAGTACAGGGGTAAGACTGCGTACATCTGACCCCCCTACCCCACCGTAGGTGGGAGCCTTTGCGGCACTGGGGTAAATGATGATTGATTGATTTTAGCTCTTTTAGAAATGCTCCATATGTATGTTCAAACTTAAAAGTTGCATATGCAAGTATGCAACAACATGACCTTTATAGGGAAGAGAGATGTTTCAAATATACAGTAATTCCCACAATTTAAAAGACTAAACTGCACACTTATGTAATTATACAAAGAATACATACCCATACAGGATTTTACTTTTAAAAAAGATTTGTGATTCCACTATTAAAGGTTAAGGGGCAATAGCCTGAATCTTCCAATATGGATCAAATACTTCCATATTTTTGGTAATTCAACCATACATTATTAGTATTCAAATTCTTGTGGATTCAATTACATTTTTGACTAAGAAATTAGAAATCTAGATCCAATCCATAGCACATGCAGTACTGTAATTCATTAATGGTATTTGCAAAAAAAATCACATTATTAATAGTAACAGTGAGTACTGATATAAAATGTTAAACTTTACAATCAGGTGCAACCAATTCCACATGGAAATATCACGCCTGTATGAGATCCAAAATACCGCAAAAAGATTTCATGTGCTCTCTTTGTAGTAATTTCAGCATTGCAGTCTTCGAGTTGCATTTGAATGGATCGGAGTTTAACCAATTCGTTTCCGATGACAATGTGATTAGAACCATAGAGTTTCTCAAGGATCTGCATTTAGCATTCAAATTCTGATGAGAGAAAAGTTCCAAAATGGGGTTTAGTGTGGTGGATGATAAACCTATTTATATTCAGTTAATACATTGATAATAAGAAGCCCCATACAAGTCTGATATCATGGAATATAGTAATCTAGAAGTCCTTGTGTTTTGTTTTTCATCTTGACAATATCGAATGACTTGTTTTAGCTTTACCTGCTCTATTACGATATTCATACTTATTGTTTCATTAATAGGGAACACATAATAAAAGAATAATTCGAAGTATTTATATGTTAGGAATAGTTTTTTGTTTTAAGATATGTATCTAACGTGAGATGACTTGACAACACAAAGTTTTCCCAGTGCGGAGATGTGTTTTAAGAGATATGTACTTTGATGGACAGTTTACAATGATCAATTGCAGCTTGCGGTTCTCCAACCAAACACATCGCCTGTGCAATGTTGTCCTCAACCTGAAACTTGTAAACTTAGGGTGAAGACTTATGATACTCAAAACGTCATATTACAAAATCAACTTTGCTTCAAAATTGCAATAACTATGGAAGGCAAGAGTCGTTCACCTCAGCTATTCTCTTGTTACATGGATGCAGTGTTGATCTCAGAATATTAGAAACCATCAAGGCATTGGAAAGTGATTCAGCTTGGATATCATTGATACTTATTGCATCTTGCAACCTATATACAAATGGCACACATACTTCTAAGATTATCACAGGTGCGCGCTTGGGTAATTGTGTTTGTATTCTACATTTTGTCTCCAACTTTAAATTTTTCCTCTTTTGGTGAACAACTATGATTTTCTTGCCACTTTTGGTCACTAATCTAACCAAATTTCATATTTGTTGGCTACATGACCAAAAAGAACCAAAAGTGAGCAGAGATCCATTCTCATGCACCAAAAGTGAAAAATATGAAACTGTGGGAGCAATAGTGGTAAAAACCGAACAGCAGTGGAACTATAAATGTTTTTTTTGTGATTGGAGAGATTAATGAATAAATCTGCCATGTACCTTCTAATACAATTCTCAGCTTTGCTGATTGCAGCAGAGGCAGATTCTAGATCACAATATGAGCCACAATTCAAGCAATGCCCAGGATTTAGGTAATTAAAATCTTGTTTATCGACCACATAATGAGCCAGTCCAACGATTCCATTATTTCCAGTATTTTCAACCTTCTGTCAAAAGTACAGGCAAAGGAATAGCCATTATAAATATATTATATGAAATAGCAAATGCAATCCTCGACGCTATTTTCACCCTGAGTCATCCGGATTCCGGAAACAGTCTCTTTGTGCTTTAGTACATGGGTAAGGCTTCGTACATTTGACCCCCCTAACCCCACCGTAGGAGGGAGACTTTGTGGCACTGAGGTAATGATGATGATGATGATGAGCAAGGGCAAGGCAAGAAAAAGATGAACAAGACACTGAATATGAGCAATGTACACTGTAGGCAGTAGTTACCACCATCACTGCAGAGTGCAATGGACTGGAATTGAGGCTTGGATCATTTGCCAATCACCAATGACCTCCCAGAGTCTCCCGGTAATACAATATAGAAAATTTCCTTCTTTTGGTCTCACGATGATTAGGTCATTCCTACTTGTAGGCCCCAACTTTTTTAGCAAACCAGCGGCAACTATAAATTTATTGCCAACTTCGGTCTTTCCGGACCATTTATCCAGCAAAAGTCAACAAAAATTTCTACTAAAATTGGCCAGGTGAGTGATCGTAAGGACCACAGTGCCAAGAAATCCATAGTCAATGCATCAGTGGTGGAAACACTGATAAGCGGAGACCAAAAGTGTAGGACCTATTGGTCATGGGACCCAAAAATGAATAGCCTCTACTCAGATATTTATCCTCCTAAAAATCCTAATAATTATGCCGTATGCAAAATACCTGCTTCTGAGTGTAGGGAATGGCCGGGTCGCCAAAGATG